ATGTATTTAGTTGGAATGTAATGGAATGAAGGATCATTAGGGAGCCTAATCATGTATTAAGGCATGATCTAGTTAGGGTTAGGCTTAAGTAGAACCAAGATAGTTACAAGTATAAGACAGCTTTCCTTGGTTTGGGGGTATCAATGATACTTTTTCCATGATTTAAGGGATTTGCCTCTAAAGTACCTATGATTGTAGCCTAGAGAGGGTGATGGCTGGCCATGTGCTAGATTTGGGGAGATTTTTGTTGATTTTATATATAGATATGAAGATATTTGTATATAAAATTATTTATTTAAGAAACGTACAAGTATATATATGTATATATGTGTGTAATGGTACTAGTTTAGGGTCAAAATATGATTTAAGAAAAATATGAGGGCATTGGGTTTAATTTATGAATTGAAACATTTATTTTAGTATAGAATTAAATTAAATTGGGGTTAGAGAGTCTAATTCGGTTTGGATTTCTTATTTCTAACAAAAATGCGATCAGCCGACGAACGTGATAAAGACCGAAAAAGCCTAGGGTTTCCAAGTGGTAATTTCATATTTATGGAGTCAATTTGAGTATTAGAAATTATTTCTAAGTTTCCGAAATAGATTAGGGTTTGCGATTTTTTTGTTGGCGCATGTGTTTTGATCCTAGGGTTGCAATTAATTAAGAAACTGAGAGACTTCAAGGAAATAGTTTAAAAGTAAGGAACTTTTAAGAAATTAAAATTTTTAGGGGCCTTACATCTTTGGTTATGACCTATTATAGTATTAGTTATAACTATTAATTATAACATTATTTTGATTATGATTTAAAAATTATTTGATTATACCCTATGCAGTACTTTGTTATAACTATTTCTTTTAGTTATAATTAAAAATGATCTAATTATAATATTTTTGATAATTAAAATCACGAAAGCTTGTATACCATAGCATTACCTAAATATTTAATAGTATAATAATATATGTATTAAATGAATTTAATTCCTTGCACATTTTCTTTACTCATCTACTAGTATTTTTTTTTTTAACAAGAATAAAATAGGCATCTAAAAAAAATTAATTTCTTGTATTAGTTTTTTTTTTTCCGTTAGTTGACTTAACAGTTGAGTAACAAAATGATTAAATTATAATGGAAGTTTAAACTTTAGGAAGGGAGATGTAATTTCTAGAACATGAGGGAATACTTGTATTAAAGGCAAACCTCATGAGGTGTTAATATAATTTACCTTTTTTTAAATAAATTCAATCACACATCATCATAAATGTGAATTTCAATAAAATCAATAAAGATATAGTTTAGATCCTAACAAAAAAAAATATGTTATTTAATATATTATAATTTATTTATTTATTTAATAACGGACCGGACTGAGTTAAAAATATAAATCTCAAATCTAACTTATTAATATATTAAGTTGAAAATGTTGACTTAACCTTACCCTATAAACTAAAACAACTTAAACAACTTCCCAAACTGTAAGGCAAGTTGGACAGATAAACCGGGGAAAGCCCAACCCTAAATTAATTTAAGTAATAAAACAAATTAACTTTTGTTAAATTTTACTTGGTTTCATTTGATGGCAGATTATAATATTGTAAAGCGTCTATTTGAGTAAATTATACCGACACTCCTTGAAGTTTGGTTCAATTATATTTTATCTTCTGACGTTCTAGAAATTAATATTTCTACTCTTATGGTTAATAATCTTTTTTCACAAACCCCTTATACTTATATAAAAAGTAACAACTTGTAATAAAAAACAAAAGAAATTATATTTTAAAAAAAAAAGCAAAGGAAAAAAAAAAGAAAAAGAAGTAAAGCAAGGCAAAAAAGGAAAGAATACATAAGTTCAATGTCTTCATTTTGTCTAAATAATTACAATTGTAAGGGGGTTAGTGCAATTTCCTAAACGTCAAGGGTGATGTTTATTAAATCCAAACTTTAGGAGTACAAGTATAATTTACCCTACTTATTTTTATTTCTATATTTGATGAAATTTTAAAATGTGAAATTAAACCTAATCATGGAAGAGTAGTAATAATTTAACAGCATGATATCATAATGGTGTCTCTTGTTTACTACACTTTATAAAAACAATAGTCGGGAAAAAAATGTTACATTAAACACTTTATATACTCAATTAACCACTAATCTTAAGTGAAAAAAGGTGGAGAAATGAAACAAAAAAAAAAAACTTATCCACTTAGATCATGTTTGTTTGGGTGGACATGACCTTGGGATTGGACTAATAGTCCAATAAAATAATTAATCCGATGTTTGGTTAAACAATTGAAGTACGAACTAATTATTTTAAACTTGACTATTAGTTAAAATAGGATACATAATCCAACGAATTCATAATCCTAGGACTACTAGTCATGGGAATACTAATCCAATCTGCCCAAACAAACATATCCTTAATCTTTAATGAACGTTTTCACTTAGGAGTGTGTGATTTATAAATTTAAAAAGTGATTTAAAAAAATCTAATTATAATATTTGTGATAATTAAAATCACGAAAGCTTGTATACCATAGCATTATCTAAATATTTAATAGTATAATAATATATGTATTAAATGAATTTAATTCCTTGCACATTTTCTTTACTCATCTACTAGTATTTTTTTTTTTTAACAAGAATAAAATAGGCATCTAAAAAAAATTAATTTCTTGTATTAGTTTTTTTTTTTTCTGTTAGTTGACTTAACAGTTGAGTAACAAAATGATTAAATTATAATGGAAGTTTAAACTTTAGGAAGGGAGATGTAATTTCTAGAACATGAGGGAATACTTGTATTAAAGACAAACCTCATGAGGTGTTAATATAATTTACCTTTTTTTAAATAAATTCAATCACACATCATCATAAATGTGAATTTCAATAAAATCAATAAAGATATAGTTTAGATCCTAACAAAAAAAAATATGTTATTTAATATATTATAATTTATTTATTTATTTAATAACGGACCGGACTGAGTTAAAAATATAAATCTTAAATCTAACTTATTAATATATTAAGTTGAAAATGTTGACTTAACCTTACCCTATAAACTAAAACAACTTAAACAACTTCCCAAACTGTAAGGCAAGTTGGACAGATAAACCGGGGAAAGCCCAACCCTAAATTAATTTAAGTAATAAAACAAATTAACTTTTGTTAAATTTTACTTGGTTTCATTTGATGGCAGATTATAATATTGTAAAGTGTCTATTTGAGTAAATTATACCGACACTCCTTGAAGTTTGGTTCAATTATATTTTATCTTCTGACGTTTTAGAAATTAATATTTCTACTCTTATGGTTAATAATCTTTTTTCACAAACCCCTTGTACTTATATAAAAAGTAACAACTTCTAATAAAAAACAAAAGAAATTATATTTAAAAAAAAAAGCAAAGGAAAAAAAAAAGAAAAAGAAGTAAAGCAAGGCAAAAAAGTAAAGAATACATGAGTTCAATGTCTTCATTTTGTCTAAATAATTACAATTGTAGGGGGGTTAGTGCAATTTCCTAAACGTCAGGGGTGATGTTTATTAAATCCAAACCTTAGGGGTACAAGTGTAATTTACCCTACTTATTTTTATTTCTATATTTGATGAAATTTTAAAATGTGAAATTAAACCTAATCATGGAAGAGCAGTAATAATTTACCAGCATGATATCATAATGGTGTCTCTTGTTTACTACACTTTATAAAAACAATAGTCGGGAAAAAAATGTTACATTAAACACTTTATATACTCAATTAACCACTAATCTTAAGTGAAAAAAAAGGTGGAGAAATGAAACCAAAAAAAAAAAAAAAAAAAAAAAAATTCAAAAAATTGGCCAAAAAAGTAGCTAGAAAATTACCAGCGACAACAACTAGTGGCAACGATCCGATGTTTGGTTAAACAATTGAAGTACGGACTAATTATTTTAAACTTGACTATTAGTTAAGATAGGATACATAATCCAACGAATTCATAATCCTAGGACTACTAATCATGGGAATACTAATCCAATCTGCCCAAACAAACATATCCTTAATCTTTAATGAACGTTTTCACTTAGGAGTGTGATTTATAAATTTAAAAAGTGATTTTAAAAAAAAAAAAACAGGAAAAACAAAAACAAAATCTCTTTATTTTTCTTTTTCTTTAGAAATAATATACTTGTACAAGTTAGACTTTGATTCGATTAGGGTCATCATCCTATTTGGGTAGTTTATACTATATTGATTGTTTTAAAGAAAGAATCCCGTAAAAGGTTAGACTTGTCTCCAAACGGGACGGTGATGTTGAGTCTATGGAGTCTATCATGGATCCTATTTTGCTAATTCAAACTGTTCAATTTGTAGAACTCGTTGAATACTTTATCTCTATAAAAAATCACGTTGATCGGATCATATTTTTGTTAATAATTTATTTTGAAAATTATATTTACCATTAACAAAAATTTAATCTGATCAAGTAACTATTGATATCCTATTATCGTGATTTTTTACAGAGATAAAATACTTGACGAGTTGTACACATTAAACGATTCAGATTATCAAAACAGAATCCGTAATAAACCCCCATAGCCCCAACAACATGCTCCGGTCCAAACTCGAATTAGAGAGAAACCTAACCTTTTTGTAAATATGTTTGGCGACCCATGTTGGATCTGCAAAATGGCCATAGGAAATAAGTTTTGGTTGAGTGACCGAATGACTCTAAATTGATCAACTGTCTCTCCATCTGTAAAATTTCACAAAATCATCAACAAATTCAAAGTTAATTTTCTGAGACAGTTTATCTCGTTATGTTCATCCCATCCCATCCAATATGCACATAAAAGCAGTATTATCAAATATCGACCATCCAAAAGAAAGTGGTCTCATTTGGAAACTGCTCTCTAGCCTCTCAGATTAAAAAATGGTAGTGCCACTCAGTTCCATATGATGATACAAAGGCATTTTCTTGATACCTTCCCATCATCACTTTCATGGTAAAATTCTATCAAGCAAAATCAAGAACTTCACAAAGAAAAAACAGTAGGGCACGGCAGGAAAGTACTCGATGTGAGAATATTTGCCAAACTTTGTGGGCATTCTACTTCAAACCGATACAATGCTCCAGGGTATATTTTTAAAAGAAAGACGAGATGGGGAAGAGAGGGAGGATGAAGCTTTACAAACTCTGTATGATGCAGGCTAAAGGGAGACCAATTGGTCAAATTCATACCCATGTATACTTAGCAGATTTACCCTGGGGCCTTCATTTTGACAAAAAGACTACAGACAGGTCTTTACCCAAGCCTATAAACCCTCTTTATCAGGCTTGCAAATTTTTTTTACCCTACCATTGCTTCTTTCCTTTTTTCTTTCGCTTGCTGCCACTACTGCTGCCAGCACTCTTGGAGAAGTTCCCGGGCCTCGTAGATGGGCTTTCACTTGAAGTGCTGCCAGGAAAATCGTCAAACATGCCTGCTTGTGCGGCATTCTGTAACCACTCGAAGAATTCCTCCTCTGTCATGCCCTCTTCAAGATTAGATGATGGCATTGCGCCTCCTCGTTGCCCTGAGCTTGTTCCCTTCCCGTTGTTATGCTTTGCAGTTAAACTTGGGTTCACATGAAAGCTTGGCTTGTGAGAATTGGCCGGACATCTCATTCCCTGCAACAACAATAAAGAATTAAGACAATTTCAACATGATAGACTTGCAACCCACATGTAGTTTTTTTGGGTGAATAACCCACATGTAGTTGCATGCACACAAACGTGTAATACAGACAATTTGCCTCACCCACCAACTTAAGACACAAACAGTACCTATAGACGTCAAATATCTAGCATCTAGAAAAATCATCCATTCCAAAAACTCCTCAAAATAAATAAATTCAAATAGAATTCAACCATAGGTCTCAACATGGATAAAGGGCATTAAAATGGCCACTCACTGTGGTGGTGGGCTTTTAAGATACCCGTTCGATTTGAGTCAGTTCATTGTGCTTTACTTCACAATTAAAAACACAATCTGTGCACTTGTAAAAAAAATAAATTTGAGAGCACAATCTGTGCAATTTGTTGCATCACCACATACCAAGTTCATAACATATATATATATTTCATAACCGGGTGTCCGGGAGTGGCCCTTTGGGGTGACTCGAACTCGAGACCTTGGATCTTTTTTCTTTTCGGTACCAAAAAAAAAAAAGTGAAAACTAATGAAAAGAAAGGGCACATATTGAGAACTTAAGATCTGCTTGATCTTTCAAAGAGAGATAAGACACATTTATCAGCCACTATTGTTTGACCTCCAATGGGACATCCTGACAACCCACTAAAGCACACTCCTTCAGATTTAGAGTATACTGCCTTTTTGGTTTGTAATTGCTTAAAGTACTAATTAATCAATCAGTAACTGTTTTTCCACACAAACAGATGCAAGGCACTTGTTTCACTCTCATGTAAGTTCTGACATTGAAGCACACAACATTTCTGTGACAGTTAAACCACACCTACGTGCACTCTAATTGGTTACAGTTTCTGTATGTTTCTGATTTCCTCAATTGATGTTTCATTTGAATAAAAATGAAGAGTGCTAGAATGGGGGGCTGGTGTGTGCACCTGCAGATTACCGCAACACCTAACAGCTAGCTTTTTAGATTATTGGCTTAAAAAGCTTTAAATAAGTTGTAAAATTGTTTGTAGCAGTTTTTTGTTTAAGTTGTGAAAAGGCTGGACCAGTTTGGTAAATAGACAGTCAAGTAGCTTTAAACGTCTAAAAAGCCCTTAGAAGTTCTGCAAGTGATAATATGAAGAGGAAAAAAAAAAACACTATTATGGGCATTTTTATCCAGCATGTAAAAGCTGGAAATTTTACTCTAAAAGTCCTAAAAACATCAATTCAGACAAACAGAAGAAAATTTCTCTACCTGACAAATGTACCATTCAGTTGCATCATATATCTTGCCATCAGCACAAACATATGCACGAGGAGGATCTACCTGTATAATTATTAATACAGAAATTAGTAGTATAATAAAAGGATGAAAAAAAAAAAATTTAAAAAAAGAAAAAGAAAATGCAGCATATGCTTAAACTCAGGTTTGAGTCTTTTCCATGGATGTACCTTTTGCAATATTCCGAACAATAATGGTTGCGAAGATTGTTCAAGCCATCCATCTCCATCTTTCGCTTGATGAAAATCTTTGCAATCCTAAAGAAGGTGGACCCATATTTAGAAACAAAAAATATTTTTCCTTGCAACAGTGCTGACCGCTGCATCTAGAAAGTTGGCCTAGGTCTCACAACATGCTAATACACGGTGCCAATTTTCATAGACACACAATAATAATAATAAAAAAAAGAAAATGCAAATAGTCGGAGGGAAAGGGAAAACCTGGCACCATCTGGCTGTAGATTTTGATTTTTTGGTGTGAAACCAGATATGAAAATTTCCACACTTTCTACAGGAAATCTGTCTTGCCTCTACAAGAGGGTCCTCACCATCAGCGTCTGTGCGCGCAAATCCAGAGGCAAAGAACTTATGCCTTCCATTCTGGACAATCAATTGATGAAAGCATGAGCAAGACAAAGAGAATAATATACAAATTAAAGAATGAATGACGACATAGTTGGTGCCTAGTGTAGTGGAGAGTTTTCCCGAGATTCACAATGTCACAAGCTTACATCTCATTCCCAACAGTTCTGAAGACAAGTCATGATGTATGTCATTTAAGAGACCAAGAAGCAAGACCCTAAATTCCTGAGGAAAGTTGGACATTCCACATCCTCCTCATAAGCAACAAGCAACATTACATAAATAAAAATGTCCCTCAGTCAACAGGTTAGTTAAGAGAGTACTTTTTAAACCAGAATTGTTTGTAGGCATTGCATGGAACAATTGTTGGCAGCAAAATAAACCACTCACAAATGGAAAATCAAAGAGAGTATTTGAGGAGCATCTACGATTCTCATTTGGCAAGAGGGTAGTCACTCACCAGGTGCCATCATTCAACTCTATGTAAAGCTGAATGATGGCACCCCCATCATTCAGCTTCCTTGTTTGACATACATTTTTTTCACTCTTCGCAAAAATTCTGATGATCCAATTTGAACAATGATAAATTGCAATGATCTTATTCCTAAAACAGTTGGTCCAATTCCAATACAATGACACGGTTCAATGCAATAACTGAAGAAATATTTTCATTTGAAATATTTTTCCATTTGAGATAATGTATGTGCAGTTGGTGAAGAAAGTGGAAGTTTCAAATAAATGCAATAAACCAGGAGGAAATGGAGACAACATGGATATTCAAACCTTTTGAGATGCATTTTGAAACCTGCGGAAGCACCTACGGAAGCAGTTCAGGAGGTCCTCCCTCCTTAATTCATCATCATATTCTTTTCGCTTTAAGGAATCAAGTAAAACCTAACAGAAAGGATCCTACCATATAGTCACGCAAGACAAACAGGATAATACATAAAAAAAAAATCTCAAAATAAAGAGGGAGGATAAAACCAAGAACATGTACCTCATATGCATTCTGAAGTTTCTTAAAAGCTTCCACAGCCTTTTCATTGCCCATATTTTTATCAGGATGAACCAGCATTGCCTGAGAACCAAAGGGGAAAAAAAATTTAATTAAGGGCCATTCACTTCCACTGAATTTCATGACAGCACAATCTAATTTCACCCCATGGAGAAGAATATAATCAGCCAGCAAGCCTGTTAAAAACTTCCCAGAGAATAATATAAAGGAACAACTCTAAGGTGGAAGTGCAATTCACAATAATGCGTATTTGCGAGCAAAAAATATGAAACTAACCTTTTTCCTATACTCCCGCTTAAGTATAGAAACGTCTACATTTTCATACCGGGACAGGCCCAACACCGAATAATGATCTGTACAGTTTAACAACCTAACAACTTCATCTTCAGATGTTATCTCAGAATCAGTCCCGCTAGTAGATGGTATTCCCGGGCTACGATCAGCTGATGGACCAGAACCAGTTTCAGGACATGAAAACTCAGGCTCACTATAGAAGAAGCCTGATTGACCTTGCTTTCCCGCTGTTTGTTCAGTGGCCCGGTGCGGCCTCCTATGCTCATTCATGTTGTTCTTCAGAAAGTATATTAGAGCATCGCTAGAGATGAAAGATAAATTCAAAGCCAATAGTAAGCCAAGCCACCCAACATATGTCCATGCACAGTATATGGAATACGAAGTGGTTATTAACAGCGCAAGGCGTTCGTGGCTCAACATGAATGCCAACCCTGCAGTTTAAAGAATCAACTCCACAATTCAGAAATAAACATAGAGAGAAAGAAGATGGTGATCAAAGTCAGAGAAACATCAAAAGGATCACCTCCAGAACAAATGACAAGTCCTGTTGTCCAAAAACTTCCACAAAACCACAAGAAAACAATTCCAGAAATGCCAATTAACAGAATTGCAATGGTGAAACCAACAAGAAGTCCCACCAAAGCCGTTACAACCTGAATAATTTTGATTATGTGTTAAAGAAGCTAAGGGCATACATCCAAAATATACAAAAATATGTTCTAAAAAAAAAAAAAAAAAGTAACCAGGGCTAACCAAGACCACGGCAAACTTGAACATTCCAATCATTGCAATTATTGACAGAATGCTGCACCATATAATTGAGAAGAAGGATGTTGTCCCCATGTGTAGAAAGGAGTCAATGCCCCTCAGAGCACTATCCAACCAAACCATTGACAAAAGAAGCATTATGTTTCCAAAATACATGAGCCATCTCAAGACAATTGGATATGCATGTTCAACTTTCTTCCGAACAAAACAAGCAGCATTTGACATGTTGGCTGTCAGAGTAATAAACAATGGTTTCTGCCTTTCTAGCCATTCAGTAGCTCCCTTGAAAATGGACAAAGCTGAAGCACTCAAATGCCCAACAACTGTGTCTGACTCAAAATTACCCATTGTATCATCTGTGTGCAATCCATTTGGTGAGTGGCCAAAACTACTTTTTGAATACATTGAACCATGATTACTGTTTGGTGGTGTTCCATTTTCATCTCTTGAACCAGAAGCTTCCATCGTAGGTAAATTTTCTACGCTATCTCCTGAATTACTGTCACAGGGCACCAGTTGCTCTACACCCTGAGTCACACTCATACCTTGCTTCTCTTTTCTCATTAACTTCCTGGACTTTTGCTTGCTTTTGTTCTCATCTCCAATATGATCAGTTTCATTCACACTTTCTGAACTAGGTACGCTCGGGTGGTTACCATTTGGGAGTTCCTCCCCACCAACAACCTTTCCCTGGCTTACTTTTCCTCTTTTCTTAGTGTTTGGCAATGCACACCCTGAATCTGAAACTCCTTTCTTGTTGCTCGATGAATTGCGATCCAACCCATTCTTCTGTTGGCTTCCCTTCCGAGCCATGAAATATAATACCAGAAGCTATTAACCAAAGGAGATGTCAATTTAGTCCATTTCTGATTGCATGAATTGGATCCATACTATGCAAATCAGATGCCATGGGAAATATTAAGCCTGCCACCACAAAATTTGGATAATTAGTCATCTTTAAAAAAATAGAATTTTTTACAATTAGTCTATACATTTTCTACGCATGCTTAATGCAGCAAAAAGCAACAGCAGCATATGCCAAAACATCATAATGCTATCTTGATAACTACAAACTGAGAAGTTTCTAACATTGGTAGCACAGGCCATGCACATCCAAGAGTTGCACAAACAAATGGAACCACCATTTTATCATTCCATAGCAGAGTTTTAACACAACCCCATGATTTTTTTTTTCTTTATTATTATATATATATATATATTTTAAATATCACTATAGCATTATGTCAGGCCCCTAAAAGTCTTTTATTTTTTAGTTTTGTTTGAGCACAAAATTTGTGCGTAATGCGAGCCAGACCTGCAATCATGAAACCAAATAATTTTAAAACTGAAGGGAAAAACTAGAATATAGCAAAACTGCACAATGCCCTGAGGAAAACACTCAAAATAATTCCCACACTACAAATCCCACAATCACCTCAGTCTAACAACCAATTGCTTTCTTTGGGAATGAAGACACTCCAAGTTCAAAGCCATGAAAGCAAAGGACTTATCAAAATGCCTCACAACTATACCATGTCTTCTTTTTTTTGTTCGAACAAACAACTATACCATATCTAGACAATGCATGCATACACAGACAGAGTCCAATCAATGCCTTGAGTAATTCCCACACAACCTAATAACTTTTTCACATTAGTGCATAATTTCGAGAAATTTTTTTTTTTTGAGAATAGGCTGAATGTACTAATCAATGTGTATGCTCTACAGAGCTCGCACTTAATCTGCCTATGCAATGATGACTGATTTAAAGCAATCTGAATAAGTACTGCAAATGAATCTTAATAAGCAGATGAGGCGAGCAGGATCCCGATTCAAGGAAGACGGTCCTGAATTCAACACATCTGCTGGAGCCGACGCTGGGGCTTTATCTCAGTAATAAGCATTTCAAATGATTCATTTACTGTCACACTAACACAGCTGGCTTTTGGATGTTACTAGGCACAACTTTTTTGTCAATATTTTCTCAGACATGGCATTTAAGATATATATTAAATGATTTCACTTTTGGCCATATAATAATTAAATGACTTGGAACTTTGGCTTAGGTACAAACAGAACCTGTGAATTCCCAGATTCTACAAACTAAATTTATGACTTCAACTTTAATACTGCTACAGGCAACGAGCAATAAATAAGCATGCTTGAAAAGCAACCCATTACTGTTTGATGTCCTGTACCAGGGGTGAGACAAATTGTTGAACATTCAAGGGTGTGTAAGCTCCAATGCAAAGATTAAAGGAATCTCTTTTTGTATGATTCACAGTTCGGCAATGGTTAATGATTTTGTACAGGGGAAAGATTCTTCATTATCCATATAGGAGTGCATAGCTTTGTACAAGGCATGAACCATTTTTTTTATATAGAATTTCATACACTTCTTGAACAAAAAGTATTTCTTTTGTTATATCTGTTTTGGTAACTAAAATTTAGTTAAGCAACAAAAGAAATACATCTAGAAAATGATACACCTCTAAAGTTCTCATTAACTCAGCCAACGGGAAAAAAGGAACTGGTTAACAAGTATGAGCACTTCTTAGATGGTTTCTTAGATGGTGCCACGTCTACGTCAAACGCGCATCAGATCAGCCCCAACATGTGTCAGACACATGTCTAGATGTGTTCCAATATATTGATTAAAAACTTTCTAGAGTCATGCATGCTTCAGACACGGGGTCAAACATGAAATACATATGGGTCTAAGCATCAGAATCCCGATCCGGATCTTACAATCCCACGATCTTATGATCCATTTGGACACAATTGATCCAGATCGTGTAAAAAACTCCTTATAGATAGGATCTTTCGAGCCTGGTAATGGAATCTTACAGGATCGTGAAATCCCGATCCGAATCCAATCCTATCGGATCCAATTTACAAGCCTTATTTTGTATTAAATGACATATTTTATTGTAAATTTTATGTTTGTTGTCTATATAGCAATTTATGTGGTCAAAATAAATAATAAAAATCAAGTAGTATTAAATCAAATAGACTAAGAAAGACAAATTAGGAAATAACATTTAAATATTGCGATAATTTAAGAAAATTAACTAGTCGGAAAAACAAACTTAACTTTAGCGGAGTCTAAGGAGAGCAAGTTGATTGTAACTTTATCCCAATTTTTGGAGAGACTATTTTTGTGACTCGAATCCACTCCACCAGGGATGCTAATAACAAACCTTATCATTCTATTAAGCCGCTCTTTTGAGTTCTTAATATATTTTCATATCTAACTTTGTTAAATATTTTTTCCTCACTTTTTATCATTATTGTAGATTGTAAAGTATTTTGTTGTAGAATTCATTTCTTCACCTTCTTTTTTATGCATTATATGTACATTTTACATAGAGTATTAAATTTTTCACAATATCTTTACTTCTTTTTAATAGAATATAGGCTTATTTTATGTACACTTTTTAATAAATGTTTATTTAAATTAAATTATTACGTAATTTGTCTTTTTCAGTAGGATCTTACCATCCTCGATCCAATTTTATGATTCGATCCTATAAACACCTCCAACGATCCAACGTTGGTTGGGGGATTTGGAAAGTGAAAGGGAAAAGATAGGTGAAATGTGAATAAAATATACCTACATTTCACTTAGGTTCACACATCATTTTCCTTTCTTTTTTCAAATCCCCCAACTAAACACAGCGTTAGGCATTCAATCACATTTTAGAACTTCTATCACATTTTAGAAACCTTAAAGCCTAGAACTTCCAATTTCTTTGGGACTAGAGCTTCTTAAAATAGATATTTTCTTAATGTTCTGATATAATAAATTATATATACATATTTGTAACATAAAAGATGAATAAGTTGTAATTATTCTCATAAATAGGTATAAAAATGTATATTTATTTAGTATTGTCACCCTATAATGTCAGTGTCGTAAGTATTTTGAATATTGTTGTGTAAATTTATTTGTATCGATGTCATATCTATATCTCGTATTTGTATCCATGCTTCCACGGGAATTGGCTTGACCACGTACCTTATAACTATGTAAAGTATAACCTATATATACATATATTTTTTTTTTTTGCTAAATAAGCTACTTTATTAAGAAAGCAACAGGATGATGCAAAAGAAAACAAAAAGGAGCCTCAATATGGGGAAGACACGAACAACACCTAACCAATTACATAATTCAAAAAATCTTAAAAAACAAATAAATCCTGATCTACTTTCCTTTCCAACCAACTATACAAAACTGTTAATAAACAACTCTCTAAACAAGACACACAATGATGAACCTCTTGAAACATTCGCCGATTCTACTCTAACCAAACCAACCACATCAAACATAGCGCGCCATTAAAAGGCCCATTAGTCTCCATGTATACATGATTAATTTTTACATCGTCAAACTTGCCCAACAGTGATCTAATATTAGTCAATAGCATCCATAGTCTCTAAGGTAATCCCATTTCACCATTTATAAGCATCAATAATCACTTTTGAATCTCCTTCAACTTGAATTTTTTTGATACCCTGCTTCCCAGCCATGAGGACCCCAATATGATTGGACTCTTCAATAATTCAAAAGATTGCCATCTACAAGCATAGAGCAGCATAGAAAAGATCTCCGTCTAGACAAAATAGATGGTAGATTCTAATTGATTATCAAAATAAGTACGAATAAAGGAGGGTTACTTCTCTTTGATAGAATACCAACTTAAAAAAAGGGAATTCACTTTTGTATGATTTGTGCAAAATATTCTGAATCAAGATGGCTCAATCAATGACCCACTTGATTCAACGATCCACTTGCTCAATTCAAATGATTCACACACACACACACAAAAGGAAGGAAAAGGAAAATGCATTTCTTATGGAATGGTTTTGAACCAAAAAATGAATTAGACAACTCCTTAGGCAATCGATCCCAATTTAGGATCAGTCCATCCTTGTATATACATCTCTACTTCATATATGTCCATATTTTAATATTAATCATAAAAAACATGTTACAACCTCAATCCACTTTCCTTATAGCGGTTTTTTGTCTTCCTTTTACACCTTTTTTTTAACATAACAATCCTTAGTGGTTCAAAGTAGTAATTTTCTTCTATTGGAGATTCCCAAACCGTTTCAAGCAACCTTTTCTTAACATGTCTCTAAATTGGTTCACCATCAATTCCTCATGATTGCATTAATTACTCACAATTACATCTCTTGTTTTCCATTCACCTCCCCAAACATCCTTATTCCACATGTTGCATCGACATGGATTTGGTAACTTAGACTATACCCATTTTTATTAAATTTCTTTTGTATGTAACTGTGTGCACTAATCAATACACCCCATTAGCACTTCCCCGCATAACTTTGAGCCAAGAACTTATATTGAGTGATGTGTTCAACGCCATGCAATGCATAAAGATATAATTTTGAAAATGGTACGTAAATCCAATTTGATGTACTCAATTACAGATGTATCGACAAGTGTATCGCAGTGAAGTGATTACATAACAGAAAAGGGAAATTGTGGCAAACAACTAAGGCCAAAACAATTCAGCGAAGAGAAAACATTCGAATTGCAGAAAATCCATTCGGAACGACAAAAGGCAATAATCCCCCTAATACAGAATGAGTTACAGTAGGAAAAATCTGAGAAGCAAAGAAAATCAAAATCACAAGCAGAAATGGATAACGGGAATCCACTTAGTAATCAACACCATAAACAGGCAAATTACGATATATGCGCATAAACAAGATTCAAAGGCAGAGTTTAGTTGACTTGGAGTCACAGAAAATAGCTCAGTAATTCAACATCAAATCCAAATGTGTGGATACAGGTACATGTATGTATATACATATATACATATACAAGGAAATAACGATTTCTCGTGTTCCAAACCCTAATTACCTTTAAAGTAAGTCGGTCCCTCCTTGTGTTCCAAACCCTCCTGTTTCAGCATATATATATATATATATATATAGAGAGAGAGAGAGAGAGGTTGCTTACCAGCAAGAGGTGGTGAAGGTGAGATAGATCGAAGAGGGGAGAGAGAGAGAGAGAGGAAATCCACAATCCAGACGAAAGCAACCACAGGCAAGAGAGAGAGAGAGAGAGAGAGAGAGAGAGGATAGGCGCAGACTCTGTCTGTCTTTGTTCTGGGACAGGGACACGGCCCACGCCGGGTCGACAAACCAGAGCAGAGACAACTCGGCAGAAACGAGGCCAACTGCGGTCTATGATGTTTCAGACCCAACCCCGCCTCAAGTCCAAACCCAACCAAACTATTTACACTCTAAAAAATGTTCTAAAAAAGGAATACTTTGGATGGTATTAGAAATTTTGATTAGAATATGAATCATTGTGGCGTTGGATCCCATTGAAATATATTAAAATGATTTTAAAATAAATATTTCAGTAGAAATCGTATCTTTCAATTATTTTATTTTTTCACTCTTTTTTTTTTTATTATATGGAAAACTCACTAAATAAATATTGTCTTTTAAAAAGTAAAAATATTAATTGAACTTGTAATATTTAAAATTTTAGAAATAATATTTGTTGGACAATTTTCACTATATTCGAAAAATAAAGAAATGAGAAAAACTGTTTGATTACAAAAATCAAAATAATATATAAAAAAAAAACAAATTCTTATTTTGTTACAAAAACAAAATTAGAATCTGATAAAAATAAATAAAAACAGAAAGAAAATTAATTACTTACCTTATTAATATGTCGAACAAATTTTATGATCAAGTCTAGTGTTTAACACTATGTCCTTAAGATAGATTCGTCCTCTCCACAGTGTTTTTAGATTGTGAACGTCTATCTTCCAGAATAAAATGAACAACAGTGAATAGCAGCAGCACTACAAACTATTCACACAACGAATATATTTTGTGTTTACACTCCATTTCTCTTTCTCACAAAAAAATTAAGAACGAAAATTTCAATGAAATCCAATGAGGGACTTGTCTATTTATAGGTGTAAATGTGGTTGTACAAATTTGGATCCAACAAGTATGGTACATGTTTGGATAGATAAAAACCTGTATGGTTTGCATTGAACATGTAAGGCACTCTTTCAAAAGATACGGAACTGTTTGGGTATGAATTTGAATAGATTTGAATTTGGACAGATATAGAACTTGTACAGAAAATTTGAAGAGGTGCAAACCAAAATTTTGAATTTTGAAATAAAAAAAATTGGACAGATTTTTATTTTTCAAAAAATAAAAACAAATTCAAATGTTTTTGGCCAAAAAAGAATTTAGTATTGGGATGGACAAGTCCAACCCAACCTCATACCATGTACCTGCGCCCGACCTACCAGACGCACGATAGCGGCCCGCGCGTGTGTTTATTTTGAGTCCAATAAGTTTAGCTCACTTTACCCATAACCTCACCATTCCACAAAACTTGGGTACCTTTTGTGGGCCTCCTCAAATTGCAAACCCATGCCTTATAAACCCACAAAAATTTGCCCACAAAACCAATGTGGGACAAACCTTTAAGGAAATTTCACCAGTGTACCATTTCTATGGAGCTCACTTTGGCTTCAATTTCCCATTCACCCGATAATGGTTTTAAGCAACCAAATATACTATGTGAATCACAACGCGGTATAGAACGCGTTAATACTTAGATCCGCCAATTTTAGCGCATGGGCCCTACCTAAAAAATAGACCAAAGTTAAGGAAAAATCTGTTTTTCCAAAACCATTTCTTACAATCTCCCACATGAATGGAATTTGATGATAACGAAAATGCAACAATATGCAAAATTTGTCGAAAGAGTATAAATCAAAAATATTTTGCATCAGGATAGGTAGCTTTCGGCTTTGAACCTTCCCTAGTGATAATCTATCGGACTTAGTAGCTAATCAATAGACATGATGCCTTGAATTGTTCAGTCGTTTGTGTAAGCCAAGACAATAGATTTCACACAAAATATCTTCTGACACATCGTGGTTCTCACGGTTGTGTTCATTTTGGCCTTGAACGCTCTTGGTTGTTCATGAGTGCTTCTAAAGAATTCAGCCTCTTCATTCTCATAGAACTGACCCTAGTTCAACACTTATATAGGTGATTCTTATTGTGAGTATTTCTTATACTCGTCTTTACTTTTATGCCTAAATCAAATATAAGTAATCATTAAAAGCAAAGCTTATCCTTAAATCCCTGTACACAATACATGTTGCAGATATCACTCTCACCATAAGAATGGGTAAGGATTTTCATTCTCTTAGTGATTTCTAGCGAGCCACACATAACTTTGTTGTCATTTTGAACTTAGTTTTTGGGATTTCCAGTCATATAAGTAGGGTTACCATTATGATGACTATTATGTAATAGATTTTAATCCCATCCCCTTCGATGAACTATACACTTGCTCTTTAGTCAAACCTTTTATTAACGAATCCGCAATATTCTCTTTAGATTTTATATAATCTATTGAAATCATTTCATTTGAGAACAATTGCCTTACGGTATTATGTTGACGACGAATATGTCGTGACTTACCATTATACATATGACTTTGTGCCTTACCTATTGCAGATTGACTATCACAATGAATGCAAATAGCTGGCACAGGTTTTGGCCACATTGGAATATCTTCTAGGAAGTGGTGAAGCCATTCTGCTTATTCTCCTGCTTTGTTTAAAGCAATGAACTCAGATTCCATTGTAGATTGTGCGATGTATATTTGTTTCGTGGATTTTCAAGAAACAGCAGTGCCTCCTAGAGTAAAGACATATCTACTAGTGGATTTTGAATCTTTAGTATCCGATATCCAATTGGCATCACAATAATCTTCTAGTCCTGCAAGATATCGAGTAAATTTTAAACCATGATCACGAGTAAATCTCAGATATTTGAAATTTGAATAATCGCTTTCCAATGGTTTTTCTCCTGGGTTACTAGTGTACTTATTCAATTTACTAATAACATAAGCTATATCAGGACTAGTGCAATTCATTAGGTACACTAGACTTCCAATGATTTGGGAGTATTTTAGCTGAGACACCGCATCACCTTTAATTTTTGATAAATAAAAACTAATGTCTACAGGTGCTCTTGCTACATTCATATCATCCTTAATATATTTACCAAGAATTTTCTTAATATAACAAGATTGAGATAATGCATATCCATCAGATATTTTAGTAATTTTCATTCCTAATATTACATCTGTGACTGTCATATCTTTCATATCAAATTTTTTGTCAATGATTTGGGAGTATTTTAGCTGAGACACCGCATCACCTTTAATTTTTGATAAATAAAAACTAATGTCTACAGGTGCTCTTGCTACATTCATATCATCCTTAATATATTTACCAAGAATTTTCTTAATATAACAAGATTGAGATAATGCATATCTATCAGATATTTTAGTAATTTTCATTCCTAATATTACATCTGTGACTGCCATATCTTTCATATCAAATTTTTTGTTCAGCATTTGCTTAGTTGATTTGATCATGTTTTGACTGCTTCCAATGATAAGCATGTCATCCACATAAAGACAAACAATGACACAACCTTTCTCGGTGTTTTTAACATAAATGCACTTGTCACATTCATTTATCTTATACCCATAGTAAGCATAGCATGATCAAATTTTTCATGCCATTGCTTAGGAGCTTGTTTAATTGATAAAGAGATTTTATAAGCCGACAAACTTTCTTTTCTTGACTTGGTACTATAACCCCTTCGGTTTGCCCCATATAGATCTCTCAATTTAGATCATCGTTTAAGAAAGCTGTCTTAATATCTATTTGATGTATTTCTAAATTATATGACGCTGCTATAGCAATAAGCATGCGAATGGATGTTATTCTTGTCACAAGGGAATATGTGTCAAAATAGTCCAGATCATCCTTTTATTTGTAACCTTTTACCACAAGTCTTGCTTTATACTTGTCTATTGAACCATCTGCTTTCATTTTTCTCTTGAATATCCATTTATATCCAAGAGGTTTAGAACCGGGTGAAAGATCTACTAATTCCCAAGTATGATTTTGCATAATGGATTCAATTTCATTATTAACAGCCTCTTTCCACAAAGGTGCTTCAAGACCTGTCATTGTTTCTTTAAAGCTTTGAGGTTCATTTTCTAACAGGCATGTTAGAAAATCTGGACCAAAAGATTTGATGTTCTTGCTCTCTTACTTCGTCTTGGTTCATCATCTGTTAAATCCTGTTGGTCGAGACCATTACTAGTCTCTTGTGTTTGATTGTCATTAGTCTCTTGACTTTGTGTACAATCATAAGTTCTTTTATGTGAACTTAATTCCTGTCTTTTCTTGTAAGGAAAAATATGTTCAAAAAACACAACATTCCTTGACTCTATAATAGTGTTCACATTTATATCAAGTATTTTTTATTTATAATTCAAAAATCGATATGCACTACTATTCTGAGCATAATTAATAAACACACAATCCACTGTTTTTGGTCCTATCTTAGTCTTTTTCGGAATAGGAACTTCTACTTTTGCCAAACACCTCGCACTTTTAAGTATTTGTAGGAAGGTGATTGACTTTACCACAATTCATAAGGAGTGTTGGGGGTATTCTGTTAAGAACATAATTATTAGACAATATTGCTTCTCCCCACAAGTTCTGCGGTAAGGCTGAACTTAGTAACATGACATTCATCATTTCTTTAAGGGTAAGGCTGAACTTAGTAACATGACATTCATCTTGTAAACATTCCGGAGCAGGTCGGACTTCTTGCAATCCATCTTACTTTAGGATTGCAACCAAGTTGGCAGGGACTTGGTTAGAAAATGAATTGGCTGACTTGGTGAGGGATTTAACTTTTGAGCCTTTGGCTCCATCCAAATGAGTTATTGAAGGACAATTAGATTTGTCAAAGTGTTTTTTTGTTGCTGAAAAAGCCACAACATTTTTTCCCATTCTATTCCTCCTATCCTTGCTTTTTTTATTCTTTGCCATTGGCGGGCGTTGGGCTAGCGTAGACAAAGCATAGCAACAGTGATCTTCTCTACTTGGTCCACGATGGGCAATTGCTACTTCGTCTAGCTGGGGGTTGGCATTAGTGACACTTGCCAACCCCACGCACCGTCATAAACGGTATACCACTTTGTCATCCTTTTTTTGAAACCTGGTCACTTTAGGAAGCTTTCTTGAGGGTTCTGATTTGGTGAATGTCTTTTTGCGAAGTGGTGATGAATCTTCGTCAGAGAGGTCATCCCAGTTGGGTGTAGAAGTTCCTTGAAATGGCAAGGTTCATCTTCATCGACATGATTATAAAACACTGCATCTGCCATGTGGGCTTCATC